TGTCACCCCTCCCCCTTTGGACGTGTTTTCACTCCAGAGACGCTCATCTTTAATTTCTTTATAGCTACTTTGAAATGCGGGGGGGAGTGGTGTGTGAGAGTGTGTGCGTGCATGTGTGTGAGTGTGTGCGAGGGGGTGGGATGGAGGGTGGGGGGAAAGTTGAGACCGGATCGCTCTCAGTAGTTTCTCTTTTCTCTATGATCCATTCATTTCTCGCTCTACCTCCTGTTGCATAAAATGATGCGCTGAAGAGCGGCTCTTTTTTTTTTTTACTTCCCGGATTTGGTTTTATAGTGGATGTTACCAGTTTTGATCGTCTCTTTGGAGATACAGTATCAATATCGCTTTTTTTTTTTTTTTTTGCTATTGCTGCCTATTCCATCTTTAAAAAACAAAACAAAACAACTCTCCCATCCCTCCCTCCTTTCCACCTTAATCCTACCCGCCCCCACATCCTCACCCCCAATTCCCCCCAGTCTCCAAAAATCCGATTGTGTTTTCTCCCAAGGATTGGGACTGGATTTTCTGATTGCGGTTATTTCCATGTTTCTAGGTTTGTGTGATTTTGCTAAAATGCATCACCAACAGCGAATGGCTGCCTTAGGGACGGACAAAGAGCTGAGTGATTTACTGGATTTCAGTGCGGTAAGAAAGAACGGTGGAAACTAACAACAGCTGTGAAAACAAAACAAAACAAAACAAAAAACCCAAACACTGAGCTAGAAATCAATAGTCATCTAAAGGACAGAAATAATTTTTAATTGGCTGAATCCTCAGTAAAATGAAGGTGTTTTTGATAAGTTTCAACTACAATTTTTGGGTGTGATGAACAATTCAGGCTTTTTTTCCCCCAGAGTCTAATAACCTGCCTTGAATTCCGTACCCATAAATCGCCCAGAATAATTGAATCTCACCCCAATGGAAAGGAAAAACAGACACCCCTAAAATGGCAAATCACCCCTAAAACTTGGCCTTCCAGGGAACCCTGGAAGTAGTAATACTTGGAGCAGTACTCGTTTTATTTATTTACTTATTTTTCCTGGAAAAGGAAAAGAGAAAATAGGAGACCCCGTTGTCTCTTAAAGTTTTAAACTGATGATGCTTTGGATTAGCAGGACCTGTAGTTACCTAGTTACTTTTTTCCCCCTGGGATTCTGAATACTCATGTATATATTGAGCGTACATTCTTTAGAACCCTTTATGCTGTTTTTATACATGTCATAGTTATGAGATCAGTACAAAGAAGAACTTACACACTTGTGGAGTTTTATAGCTGTACTTGGTCCTTCTCCATCCCTTTGCTTCCCTTTCCCAAACCAAGTCTCACTCATGTCAGGGGAATTGATTTTCAGTGGCAGATGAGTTTGGTGTAAGATGCATTTGCAAAGCAAAATGAAAAGAATCCACAAAACACATAAATAAAATCCAAACCACCTTTTAAGTGGGGCTCTTTCATGTTGCTGCTGCTACTGCTGCCGCTGCTGCCCCTGCTGCTGCTCTGCTGCTGCTGCTGCTGCTGCTGCTCTTCTAGACCTTTTTTTGGAGAAATGGCTTTCGGAAGTTTTGCCAGGAAACATAGCCCTAGCAGCTTCGGAGCCCCCTTTCTGCTTGCTGCACTTTCCCCATTCGTTCCTTTGCTTTTTGCAGGCTCTGACCCAGGGAAGGTGCGCATTGTCCACTAGATACGTGGAAGAAGAGGGAAACCAATTAGGGTCGAAATAAATGCTGGAGAGAAGAGGGAGTGAAAGAGAGAGAGAGTGAGAGTGAGTGAGTGAGTGTGTGTGTGTGTGTGTGTGTGTGTGTGTGTGTGTGAGAGAGAGAGAGAGAGAGAGAGAGAGAGTGTGTCTTGCTTCAAATTGCTCTCATGTTAGAGATGAAATGAGAATTTAGTGCAGGTGGCACTTTTATTTTTATTTGGGTTCACATATAACAGGCAAATCCTATACGGGCTGGAAATGGACATTGCCACGTTTATGGCCAAGGTTTTCATATAAAACAAACAACTTTTTTCTTCTCCTTTGTAAAACTAGTGTTTTCTAGAGAGGCTGCTGCCCTCCAAACTGAATCTTGATAACATTATGGGGACTGTGTTTGTTTAAAATGTGGTAGTACTGCCTAGTACTGGCAATCTAGTGAACCTGAGGAAAAAGAAAGGAGTGGTACTGGGGGCGGAGGGGTGATTGCCACTGTTGTGCCTGCTTTAGTTCTAAGTTGGATGGTGATGTGTTTCACAAAGACGAGCCCTTAGCATAAACTCTAAGTTACATAGTGAGAGTATGAGAGATCTTTGATGAACTCTGAAGGAGCAAATGTCTTCTTTTCAACAGTAATATTTCTTTGTTTCTTTTAGATGTTTTCACCTCCTGTGAGCAGTGGGAAAAATGGACCAACTTCTTTGGCGAGTGGACATTTTACTGGCTCAAGTATGTAAATTCTTGTCTTAGTCTGTAGTTAAATGTTCTTTGCTGTTTATTCACTCATTGTATATTTTTGGCTCTGTTGAAGCGTTCTGAAAAAGTCATTGAAATTTTAGCCTGTAATGATACGGTTATTTCATTATCCATCAGTGGTATAACTTACACAAAATGTCATCTTTTGCAAAATTAAAACTAGGCCTTTTTTTTTTAATCAAGGAAACTGTCTCAGAATTCCATTACTTAATTTAAAAGCAATTTTCTAATACAGTTATAATCAAACATGTGAAGATAAGGCCAATGTTAAAATGAGGGAAATAAATTAATGTTCCCTATTTGGAAATAGAGGGGGAAAAATCTAACTTTCATAAAAGGGAAAATCCCTTGTAAATAATATCAATTTTATTAGGTTCTGTGTATAATTAACCCTTTTAAAGAAATGAGTCTGTAATTTTGCAGCTGAATGCTGTGTGGTAAACCATAACTGTAAATAGAAAGCCTCTTGCTAAGCTGAGCTAAATATTAATTCATTTATATTTAAAATACCCTTTCTGATGCTTTGGCTGTTTCTTTCCCCTATGTGTCATGTGTGCAATGAATTTTTGCTGTATTGAAAGTTGCAAATTGGGAAGAACCTCACATTTTCTAAACGAAAGGTCTTTGGGTGATGCTTAAAAAAGACGTTAGCGCTATTCACAAAGGAAACTGAGTGCGCATTGATTATCTGGCATCTAAGGAGGAGTTTTAATAGGGGACTCTCTGAAGGTCTCTTATTAAAAGTGAAAACTGAAAATATATTTAGTTAAAATGTATTTGTTATTTTGTCCACTGAATCTCATATCAAAAGGAGGCACACATTGTTGCCTGCTGTTCTTTAGGTTCAACGCTTAAATCCATTTCTGCTGGTGAAACAGCTGCAGTATCTTAGTTCTGGCAGTGGGACATAACAGTACATTAGACAGAGTACTGTTCTTAAGTGAGGCTGGTAAATGTTGACATTTTTTAGCTCTGAAGTGCTAGTGGAATTGCCTGTTAACTATTGAATATAATTTCACATCGCTTAAATTTCATAGCAATGAGAAATCTGTTCACCTTTGTGATTTGTGTAATTGGTATATTTTTATAAAATGAATGGCTTGTACAAGTTGCTCATTTCCAAGTAAGCTACTTCTCCTTCTTCTGGCACTCATAAGTCTAAGGGAATTTTAGACTCTGTAACTTGATTTATAAAATATGAGATGCCTCCTATAGTTATATTTTATCTTTTGTTTTTTTGGGTCCACTTTGATTAAAGTACTATTCTCCATAGGGTTGTGTTTTACTGCCCTGACCCTGTGAGAGCTGATTGCCTAGTACTGGCAATCTAATGAACCAGAGGAAAAAGAAAGGCGTGTTAATGGGACTTAATTTTTTTGTTTTAGTCTTATATCTTGGAGATCTCTGTATTCCTTATACAACTTTGAAGTAAAGGTGAACACAAGTGGCTCTTCTAGACAAATTAATTTTTCATGTTAGACATTCCAAACAGTAGCTAACTTTATCTCTGACAATACTTTTCTTGATCATATTACTTAAGAAAACGTGTATTTACTTTAAATCTAGAAGTAGATTATGTCAGAAAAGTACAGAGATAGGCTGCTTTCAAAGTCAGTGCAAAATACTCTTTTGCCCTTTGTGAAAATTGACACATTTGGAATATCTTAAGTTTTGTCAGTTTAGGTATGGCTTCATAGAGTGAGGTGAATCAGAAGCATGAGTTCAAATTTCTGAGTTCACATATAGATAGAGTCCTTGCTGTGCTGTTTATTTTAAGTGTTTATAGGGAGTATAGGCTGTACAGATATGAATATGTATTAATACATTTTGGTAAGTGATCATATATTTAAACTTACACAGTTCTTAAGACAACTCTGTGTGTGGGTGTGGGTGTGTGTGCACATATACATACAAGCATACATGAACTCAGACAGACTTCATCCTTAGTGTGATGTTATGGTATTTCTGATGAAGATGCTGTGATTATTACAAGGTGTTGAACTGTAGGTTACATTGTACCACAGGTGTAGTTCTCTGGCCCAAATGTTGACTTGTAAAGGTAAAAATGTGTGGCTCTTTTGTTTGGGGTACTGGATTGAAAATGCAAGGTATTCATTCAGTGCAGTACGATGGTGACTATAATATATGGGGTACAGATTGGAGTGTTGGTTTTTCTCATCTATTCAAGACATATTTGAACACAGGGCTATTAGTGAAGTAAATGGCTTATATTTCCACTCAATAAGATAAATTATTTATCCACAAAGATAAAGTCTTTTTAAAGCATAACGAATTTTAAAAAAATCAGGAAAACTGGCCTTTAACTGGAAGGATGAATGAGGTAACTTTGGACAGAGGAATAATTTTCTAAATTTATTTCAGGTTCATTTCCATTGTCCTGAGTGATCTCAGATGTCACTTTCATGGGTAGCTTTGCAACTTGGGGTCCAGGAAAAAAAGATCCAAGCTATAAGTAAACTGTTCATATTTGAAAAACCAGCTATAGCTTTTCAGGGAGTCTTGGTCATATTTCATGCTTAAAGTTCCCAGTCGCCTTTGATTTCATTAATGTAGGATGCTCCATCGTGATTTGCAATGTGAGAATGAAAATAAAGTGTGGCCATATTCCCTTTAATCTTTCATTTCACAAACATGGTTTTTCCTACCACCTTAAGAAATGGGGAGGCTGCTAGGGAGAATGGAATGTAACCTGAGCTACAGCCTGACATTCCCAGGGAGCATTTTTCACATGAAAGGCTTTTGTCAACCCAGGAAAGGACCAGCAGTTTTTGTTTGATGTTTGCAGGTGTTCAGCAGAGAGCACTAAAACAATTCAGCCATGATAGTTCAGAGCTACGATGACCTTAACTGGGAGATTGGTGGTCTCTGGAATTATTTTTAAGAAATAGTTGTAACCCATATGGTAACTTATACAAAGAGATTTAATATCCGTTATATCATTGATCTTAAAACAAACTAAAAGTATCCACATGCCTGGATAATTGGAAAATTATTCTCATTAAAACGTAGGATGGCAAAGTTACCAAAAGAAAAAGTGCTCCTAGAGTCTATAATTTATTGGTTAACAAGGGCTTAATTTTCTGATATAACAAAGATACTGTTTATTTGGTTACTTTGAGTCCTGTATAAGCAAAAGATAAACATGCTAGCTTTAGGATCTTTTTAAAAAGTAGTTTTAAAGTTGGGCCATTAGGATTATCTACACTCCAGAACAACCCTAGTCATCTGTTACATGTATTTACAGTTAGTCTGTGATGGATACTACATCTTCCTCCCTCAGTTTAAAAGTTGAGCTTTTTCTCCTGTAACTGTTTAGCTTTGCTTAGGTGTTCAGCATTTGTTAAAGATTGCCAAATCAATGGGTGTTTGGACAATTAAGAGCAGTAGTAAAATACACCACATCTCTGGCATGGTATTTTTTAAAGAGGAAAAACATTTCTTGATATTCATACAAGTTAGTTAGCCTTTATCCACATGATACCAAAACAAACCATCAATTTAGTGAATTCAAGGAGAAAAAAACGAATCCAGGGGGTAGTACTGTACCACAGAGAAAATTCAATGGTCAGCATCCTGAATTGATTTCCACTAGTTTGAATTCAAGGTTATGGCATGAAGAAAAATTGGCCTCCCCTTAAAAGTGTTTGTTGAGTAGAGTTGTGTGTGTGTGTGTGTGTGTGTGTGTGTGTGTTTTGAAACAACAACTTTACTGTTACAGTGCAAGTCATAATGGTTGCATGCTTTTTTTGTAAAGACAGAGTAATTTACTAGGTTAATAAGTAAAGTGGTATTAAACCCATTATGTTAGAATCATAGGATATAGGAGATACAAACTGCTTAGCTTTATACAACCAAAGAAAACTGAGGCTCAAGTTAAGGAATTTCTGTGCCTTTATTTGCTGTTCTAAAAGAACACATTTTGATTTGCTAATTCTCTATGGCTCTGCAAATCCTTTATTGGAATAACATTGGTTTTACTACTGTGTTTTGCTGTAATTTGTATTGCATAATAGAGTATTAGGATTTATGTGTTGATATTTGTGCATACAAATGCTTCAGCATGTTCATGAGTCCTTTGAATACTTTCTAAGGTTTGGAACTGAATTTTGGATATTGATCATTCTCTTTAGCCCAGACTCCCCTGGGAATATTTGCAAGATGTTAAATTGAAAAGTAGGGTGTGGAGTGGTACAACACTGACAAAATTAAAGTGCTTCTTAATACGCCAAGAGGTATGCTATGTGCCTTATATGTATTGTATTTTTAAAATTCTCACAAGAACTGAGATGCAAAGATTACAATGCTCATTTCATAGATGAGGAAACTGAGATTCAGAGATGTTAGACAAGTTGCTCACAAGGCAGCCTATAATGAATTAGGTTCAAAACTCAGGTTTGCCCAGCTCAATATCCTTTTCACACATGCATACACTGACAAAAAAAGTTAGATATAGCTTACTTTTTCAAGATTATATAGGGATAATAATGCATTGTTGAGGCTTGGCCTCACCCGATGATATGTTTATTGATTTTTAGAGTGATGAAGGGTGAGAGAGAGAGAAGGAGAGAGAGACAGACAGACAGACAGAGAGTAATCAATGTGAGAGAGAAACATCGAACGGGTGCCTCCCTATGATCCCCTACCAGGGATCAAACCTGCAACCTAGGTATATGCCCTGACCATGAATCGAATCCGTAACCTTTTGGTGTAGGGGATGATGTTTCAAACAATTGAGCCACCAGGCTAGAGTAGATAAGCATTTTAAAAAACATATTTAAGAAATGATATAAACTCAGGCCCATTACTTTTCCTGCATTAGTATCCAAATAAATGCTAGCCTTCTAATTGATGTTGGATTTCACTGTGTCTTTGTATGCCTCACTATTGTTGTTATTACTATTGTTATTATTACAAGGAAAATATAGTAGATATTTTCAAAGTTGTGCTTTTAT